CACCTGGGAACGGCCTCATTTATCGTCCAGAATTGAATGAAATGAATTCAAATTTAGGCAGGAGATATTGATAATGTCTTGTGTGTGTTGAAACAAAATCGCCATTAGTAAGCGTTTGTTTCCAGGATCTACCAGAGACAGCAAGTCTTTTGGAAGTTGTCAAAATGGTGAAACCTACTGCACTTCTGGGTAAGTTGTATTGGAATTAGGTTGAAAATGTTGAATTACAGAGTTTCGACGTAATTTTTTTTTGTTCGCCTTTTCAAGAAATTTTTGATTGGAAGCTTTTTACGAGTTGTTATTCATGCTCCACATCGATTTGTAGGTATCTCAACGGTCGGTGGCGCTTTTACGCCTGAGATTATTCGCGAAATGGCTAACAATAATGCTCGCCCAATAATTTTCGCTCTTTCAAATCCTACTATCAAAGCAGAATGTACAGCAGAGGATGCCTATAAATACACCAATGTTAGTGTTTTTTCACAGTCTTTTCTTTATTGTCAAAGGCTAGCAAAATATCTGCTTTTTTGAACGCTCCATGTTTGCCTAATTATTTTCATCTCTTTTAGGGCACTGTGCTGTACGCATCCGGATCTCCATTTGACAATGTTGAATTGAACGGGAAACTCTACAAACCTGGTCAAGGCAATAACTCTTACATCTTCCCCGGTGTGGCACTGGGTGCGGTGCTGTTCAAAGCAAAACATATTCCTGAAAAGGCTTTCCTCATTGCTGCCAGGGTATGTCTATTCTTTTCTATTTTGCTCAATAACGCTTAATTTGACTTTGTTTCCTAATGTAACTATCGTTCGAGCAGCCTGTTGAGGCATATCACATGAATACTATAATATTTATGGCATCTGGTAATAATCTAGCTCGCACATGTTTCATTAATTCACAGTAAAAGGGAAGGCGCGATGTGAGTCGGGGGAAAGGTGCTTTTGGGGAAGTGAATTGCCGACCCGGTCCAGAGTACCTCTTTTTTTACTGAGGCTAAGCCAGTAAAAGGAGGAACTTCGGGGTAGGTAGGCATGCCATTTGAAATGAGCAAAATCAAAAATCGGTGCGCCCCCCCCACCCTCCAACTCATTTAGCACTAAAATTGAGTACGTGAAGAAAGAGCAATAATAAAACAAATATATTTTCGTTACTATCAGTAAGTCCCTCACATTAAAATATCAGGTAACTGCATCATATATTAAGTAAGTGTTGTTAAGCGAGTTGCTGCATCGGTCACTGACAAGTCGCTGACTGAGTATGCCCGACTCTACCCACGACTCAGAGACATCCGCGAGCTGTCTGTGAAAATCGCTTTGGATGTGAGTTTCGGAATCTCGTAGCTAGACTAGAGTAGAGTAACCATTCAGACAACACATTTTAGCCATTTCGTTCTCAATCTCGTATTTTGCCCTTGCATAGAAAATTGTTTTCATAGAATCGAATCACACCAGGCGAACAAATAAGCGGTGTAAGACAAATGTCAAACTCTGCGATTTGCACGGCAAGACTATCACGTCACGACGCCGTACGTGCTACGCGCGCTGCAGCGGAAGGCACGATTAATTCGTAAGGTGTCCCACTCCGCGACTAATCGCTAATGATTTGCGCGACTAGCGATTGATCGCAAAGTCTGATATCTGCCTAAGGTCTAGCGCCGCGAACTTCGATTTTCAGTGGTAAAAGTTGAACGAATGGAAACTGGTTGTGAGTAACCCTCAATATCCTCCTTGAATCAGCATGGCCAATATGTTTCTAAATTAATGTTTCCTCGTATGCCTTTTGTTATAGTAATTGTTATGGATTGGCCCAGGATCGAAGCCGCTGAAGCTGACTCATATTTCAAAAAAAAGCAGCGAAACTGGAACAAATAGCAAAATGATCTCAATTGATGGCGCTGGCGTATTATAGGCTATATGGCTTGAGTTGCGGAACATGTTACACGTAAGGCGCGGTACTGGAATTTGATCTCGCGACTTGCCAGTCGCACTCGCGAATCGCATCGTCTGACTCTTGTCCATGTCCTACTAGGTAGCTGTGGTTGACGCGAGAAGCTGTGGAGTAGTCGGTAGCCTTCCTGCTGCGTTTACGCAAAATGTTCTACATTAGTTCATGAAGAATAAAAAACTTCAGTACAAATTCGAATCAGATCATTAAAGCAACAGTTCCAGCAGGGTTTAGCCTTCGACACTAATGGTGTGGAACGATGCGCTAGCCCTAGTCAAGAACATAAGAAGTGTGACTGAACAAAAAACTCACCTTGGAAAGCCGCTAGAAAGGGAGCTGAACGGCTTCGAAGTGGGCGTGGTTGAAGCCGGTCGAATCGATGTTTACCGGACTGGTTGTTTAATCATTTTAAAACTTTTAAACACCACTTAGATCGTTGGCCAACCTGGTAAATATCAGGATACTATGGGCCCGTGAGCCTTTCTCACAAGCGATGCATGCTTCAATAGGAAGAACTTCTATAAATAGGTTTTTGATAAAATTAAACAATTTTCATTTAAGATCGGTAATTACTTTTATGAGAACAATCTTGCTGATCGCCCATGCGCGGACCTGCAGGTAAAGTCCGTTTTTTCTTCCAAGGTAATGTTCAAGAATGTTGGTAACCTTCAAATATGTTTTGTTTCAGGAAATGTTCATTCGCCAGCAAGTTTACAACTATGAATATGAACCTTCTATGAACGATTGCTATAGCTCGGCCGAGAAGGACGCTCGGCCATGGTTCCCCAGTTCCTGTGCTTCCCCGGGTCTCTATGGATGAAGAATGAAAGCATTCAATAACTTAGGAGTAAATTTTTGAGATTAGGACAAATTCATAATTTAGAAATTGTTTAAGGAGACTTAGCTAAGTTTGTAGGTTGTAAGTAGAATATAGAGATTTAGCTTGAATTGTCAGCTTTAAACTGCATGAATCTGTTTTGTGTGTAATAAATATAGTTAAGTAGACGGTGAGCCAAAATGTGAATACGCAAACGCATTTGTGAAAGATTCCTCCAGAAATGTGTTCTTCCAGCCAAAAGCTAATCTTACGCCGGGACATGTGTGTTGGCAATAACTGTGTGTGTCTTGTATTCAATGAGGAAGCGAAGAGCAGGAAAGTATCTAAATGAAGACTAAAAATACAAAAACAACTATTTACGAGATGAAATTTGGGGGATAGAAACATTTTGATAAAATTTCATGAAAATTTCGACTGCAATGAATGAACTAACGATAAGTCTAAATGTAAAGCTAGTGATGGCTTTCGCACTAATGCGATCCCAAATAAGGAAAAGGTATCACAAGGCCGGGATTAAATGGAGAGGGAGGATAAGGGAATCTCGCTAGTATGATCTCGGTGAGAGAAGAGCGGGAAGGAAAAACTCGAGGATACAGTACCCCGATTGGCAGGGACATTGGTAAGATAAATAGGGTTGCAGTTTGCGAAAACAAAGTGACCTCGGGTGGGTGCTTTCTTTCCAACACCTCTCAACGTAGAAACCCGACGTTCTAAGTTGAAGGGCATCGTCGGCTCACATGGCGGCCGATTTCAGGACCCCTGCACAATTCGTCATCGGTCAGTTTTGAATCATCGTCAATTGTACCGCAGGAGGACTTATCCACTGCGCCAAAGTACCTCCGTGCAATCCATGCTGCATGTGCCATGCAAAGATTCACCCCTTTTAACACCAACGCCGGGAAAGACTTATAGTATAGAATAGTTAAATTCCGAGCAACGAAATAGGTCATTGGTTTCTCTTGTAGTGCTTTGAGAATGATGGTAATGAATTTCCATTCTGGGTCTATAATACTTTGTTTAATTATACTTCAAGAGACAGAGATAGCCACTTCTTGGTGTGTTGGCGATTTGTGATAGAGAAGATTATAAAGTGAATGAGTCCCTAACAAAATGAGAAGACGTGTCGATCTTGTGATACCAGTTTCTAGATAGCTATTACTAATATCTCAACGGTCATACATACAATAAACCTTCTCTACGCTGCAACTTCAACAAAGTAAAATAAGCGTTTGCACGAAGACGTGACACGAGTAGTACACGTTAAGAAACGGATCCCTGTGCACAGCATCTAATCTTTCAACAGTTCCGGTGATGTGCCTGTGGCTCAGTTAGTGGTATGACTCCTGTCTTTCCCGAGCTCGCCTCTTTTGTGTGCCACGCGGGTTTCTAAATTGGACGGTACCAGACAAAAGTACCACTAATATTTATTATATACGAATATATAGTAGACACCAAATCTTCCACGTACTCGTCCTTTATTGCGGCGATACAGAGGGACGAGTCCGATATTGCGAATAATCGAGAAGCAGCGGTCGAATAGCAGACGAAGGACGACGACGAATAAGAATCCGAATATTGTGCAGAAAGACGATGACCAGAGCTCCTTAGCTTGGGCGGTCGGCGTGCCAGAGGAAAAAACCAGATTCCCACTCAGTCGCGGTCCTTTTATACGGTAAGAAACGTCGGCAGCGTGGGCTTGAAATGTAACCATATCCCTGCAAGCATTCAAGATCAGCCTGCCGATAAAGAAATAGAGAAAGTAATATTGATTAGCTGTAAAAAGATAAACTAAATCAAATATATAAACTTCTAACCATTTAGTAGCGTTAGCTACACTCGCGGGCGCCATGAGGTGGTCACTGACGGGATACGCGTTCGAGCTGCTCGAGTTCATCCCGTATTTCCTGCATCGCTCTTCGAACCCTATCTTTGGAATCAGGTACCGAGCAGAGGGCGCGATGATGTCCATCGTCAATCGGAATGATGAAACGGAGTATAGTATCCTTCACTTTCGCACAATACCAGCATTGGGTGTCGACTTCTTCACAGTCAGTTCCATTGCATTTTTCGAGACAGAATTGGCATTTCTTCTCCTTTCGAATGAGGTGAAATCGCCGGTTGCCCTCGACAAGCTCAGGACAAGAATCTGAGTAGTGGGATTTTATTTCCCCGCAGAAGGCACAGGGCTTTGAATTAGTTCCTCTCGATGAGCAGCCGATTTTCCTCTGCGGTAGCAAATGTAATCCCTTCTGAAGATCAAAAAGGTCTCTCTCGAGTTTCTCCCGCCTCTGTTGGAGTGAAGCTTTGTCTCTGATTCTGTTCCTACGAACTTCTCGATCTTCCTCTCCAGTGGTCTCTCTGATCAGGTTGGCTAAGTAGTCGTCGTCGGAGATAATTTGGACTTTGGAGCTACCCTCCGATTGGTCCTGATCATGGTGTCGCTTCGTTTGCTGAGGAGCAGCATCTCCCGCCTCACCGTTCATGGCTATCTTAGCAAGATGTTCCTCCATACGCTTCAAGATGTCCGTGACGTCGCCGTTGGTGTTGAAATTATTGAAGGTTAAAGCCTTCAACACGGTTTTCTCCTTATTGATGAGTCCGGATGCCCGCTCCATTTCTTGCTCGAGGTCTTTGACTTGACGTTCCAGTATCGTAATATACTTTCCAGCCGTCTGAATGAGATCCTTGGTGTTAGTGTCATGCTTGGATCTCTGACCTTCCTCCCATTGTGCTCGCAGCTGTTTTGAGAGTTGACCACTGTTCGAGAGTACGACGTATATGGAGTCCAGAAGTAGATACCTCTGCGTTAAGCTCTGGAGATGGCTTCCGGTGGCAACGGCCGTACACAGTAGACGATGTGTCATGAGAACGATTTCACCTCCGGTTTCATTTGTGCATGTGTGCTGAAGGGCGTGGTGTGTGATAGACGTATCCAGCGTCTTACATATCTTGATCTGCACATGTATTTCTTCTAGCGTTGCAGCCATGTCCTTCTCCAGGTCGTTCTCCGATATTGAATCTTCGTGAAGGTTTGAAAGGAAACCGAAGTCCTTCAAGTATGCACTTTCTTCTGCCATAACGTCTCGTCCTGCAATGGAATTCGTCGACCAAAAATAAATTGAATTATACATTCGAAAAATGAGAGAAAAAATAAGTTCTCTTCTATCCTAAGTGAATCTCCCTCATTGATTAATGTTGTTTACTATGCCGTTTATTGACCATAACGTGGCGTAAGATGCGGAATATCGTTTTTGCTGTAGCCACAATTAATCTTGGTCCTAGTAACAATAACCAAACGGCTATCTTCATACCCCAGGTAGACAATACCAGGTATGTGACTCCTAGAATGACGACTAATCCGATTATTGTAGCGGTAAGGGTCTTGTACCACTCCAAAAATACTGCCCCAATATGAAAGAAATCCGGCCATGCGACTGTAGACCAGGACCCTGAATGTCCTTGAAGCCAATATTGAACCATTCCTGTAACTGTGCCCGTAAATTTTAGAATGCCCTCTAGCTCAAAGTTTTTCGCAAGCTTTCCACAAGATACAGAGCACTCAAGCCGGACCTGAGCTTCGGAAAAACTGAGTCTTAACGTTGAAACACTTCCGGTGGTATTGCATGGTATGGAGAAACCTACATCGCGGCATACCACTTCTGCTTGCTGATTGTCACGAGATGCAAAGCATTTTACTTGTGCACGCGCTCCCTTTGCACAATTATAGCAGCCGGTTAGGGTAGCGTCTCTGATCTCGCACATTGCATCGTCTACCAATATTGTGGGCTCGTAATATCCTTGGAAATCCATAACGACTTCGGAGGTAACCATGCTAGGTATTCTTGCTAGAACTGATTTCCCATACCTCCTAAACGAGAGCGAAGAAAACGTAGCTGGGAGCTGGTTCTTAATGTCGCTGAACCATGGCCCTATGGAAAAATCTCGGCAATCGCAGTTGACTCTTATTTCAGCGGGTCTGCAATTGCAATCGTCTACTACAGGGCATGTCATGTTTTGCGCATTCGCGTAAGTTTGACACTTTAAAGCTGGGCTTGCTGTTGGCTTCCACATTGCGACCTCGTGTTCAGCCTTTATGAAAGGCGTATTGAGTAGGAAAAGTGGAGGCAACGAGAGTGATGTTAGAGTGAAGCTCAGCGAGTTCCATTTCTTGGGTACGTTGGGTACCAGGTCCGTAGTGAGAGTAGAGGTCATTTTCTTGTTCCCATCAAAATGAGTGAGTCGAATTTTGGCCATTTCCTTCCACCTTGTACAATGGAAAATTTCGTAGACAACGTCGTTGACTGGTTCTACATAGATGCGGTAAAACAGACATCCTGAGCTTGGTGTTAAACAACCACACCCTAAACCTCCACAAGATTCAAAGCAAGCTGTATTCCCTGGATATTTGTTACCTTCCTCTAGCTCTGGTAGTAGACTGGAGGCGTTGATCGCCCCGCATTTGTCATCATAGCACGATCCCTTGGAAGAACATCTCTTGCTACTTACGATTCGATATACCGTATCTCTTGTGAAGAAGTCAGTCACTGGTTCGCAAATAAGGTCGAGTGACTTCCATGTGAGTCGAATCTCATGCACCGGCGTACTGTTGTGCGATAATCGCACACATGCTTCCTGCTTGAATGCATTTATTTTGAAGACCTCCGAAAGGTGTACATTACATGGTCCGGAAGCTGTATTCGTGCAGGTGGTAGAAACATGGTTGAAGACGTTGACCAATTGACATCCCTGGACACCGTGCCAAATCACTCCGAATATTGCTATAATCTCGGCAAGACGTCTACGCCTGTTTGCTCTTCCAGTATTGGTCTTCTTCAGTATAGACTTCAGGATTCGCAGTATTCCTCGAAAAACCTTCCAAGCTATAGCTGCTATTACCCGAAAAGGTCGTCCTACCACCAATGGAACATATAGGAAGACATAGCAACCGGTCACAACGAAGTATATTATGGCCGCTATAGCGA